ATACGGAGGATGGCACCCAGGCTAAGACCCCGGTGAATGGGGTAGAGACCCCGGTGAATGGGGTAGAGACCCCGGTGAATGGGGTAGGAGACCCCGGTGAATGGGGTAGAGACCCCGGTGAATGGGGTAGATCTCAGAAATGGATAATAAATGAAAAAAATCAACGAAAATGCTTTTTTTTAATGGTTTAATAATAATATGTCACTCCATACCATAGGTATTTTATCTTTTTTTTCCTTTTAGGAATTGGCAAATACCCCAGATGTTTTCCTTTGTTTGTTGATGAAGCTTCTATTAATTCTATTATTTCATCTCATTGTTATTGTTATATTCCTTCTTACTCTTATGTTCACGATGGTCAGATTTGGGCCCAAAAGTCCCACTCCGCTACTATGGAAATCGAATCCCCCGAACCCGCGAATCTTGTTCGATATGACGTCATTCGAATAGAGCGGACGTTCGATCTGGGGTTACCCGCGGTCATTTACAGTAAAGCCGCTACTTCAAGCCCTTTTTTACTTGGGAACCACGGAACAGGAAAAATCCACCTTTCCACAAATATGAACCATTTTTAAAACATTACATCTATGTCGTGATTTTATTGTGGATATGTAACATGTAACGAAGCTACTGCCGTCATCGTGGGTGACCTTGAAGGTCAGAATTCTTGTTGACGCTGTTATAAAATCCAGGTCCCCATATCCAAGTGGCACAGCATGCGTGCAAAGATGGTATTTTAACCATTCCCAAAAATCGCTCAAATTACCTCATTGAGGTCTTGTTTGGAAGAGCAACGATTTCCGCAGATTTCTGTCTTAGGGATTTTTTAAATATGGCCGCGATTATGAATTATCAGTATTTGAAGTTAAAACACGGCGTTTTAAGCTCTTCTTTTGACTGTAAGTCGAGTTTTAGTTATAAAATAAAAAAATCCTAAGACAGAAAGTTTAAATTTACTGTAATATTTCTAAAAATCCAAAAAATCTAACCTTATTTTTAACTTTCGGGGCCTCTTAAAATCAGTTGTTTGGTTCTCGTGAACCCTTTTTGAAATCCGAAATTGATCTCATTTGGAAGCAAATGTACACAAAGTGGAGCAAAGGCAGTGCAAGAATAACATTTGAGGTAACCAAAATCACTTATTACATTTTATTTTGACGAGTATTTACTCTCCAATTACTTTGTTTATTTTCAAATTTTACCCGTTGCCCCCGGGCCGGCCTGGGACTCCCGCGCGGCCACGTTCGAACACGTTCTGTAACCCGATACCTCCCTAGT